TTATCCTAGCACAATAGATTAGTGTGGATATATGAACTTCCCAAAGAGACTTGGGGGGGAGGGGAGCTGTGTGCTCTCCATCACTTCTCTAAAGCGTCTCAGCGCACTTCTTTCATTCCCTGGTTAAAAACTGAAGCCCTTGTGGGGTAGGGACCGTGCTTTGCTAGTCTTTGGATGTCCAGGGTTAGCATATGAATGTGCCTATTACTGACTCAATTCTGTCATTCAGTGACAATTTCCTATGCCTTATTAAGCCTTTGATGTTCCTCTCTGCATATAAGATCTCATTGGTAAAAGGGTGCCCAGCACAATAAGCCTTTCTCACTTCAGGATATCAGAAGGTTAAACATACGCACACATTCCACAAGCTCTTAATACAATTATCACTGTAGTGCCAATCAACAAGCACTGACCCCTCTTCGCTCCATCATTAATTACTTCCCGATGAACTGAAATTTCAGAGATGAGATCTGCTCTGAGATTTGGCAGAAAGAAGATCCTTCGCTGAAGTGACATGATGACTCATGCTACAAATCTGTATTCCCTCATGATTTAAGGGCTTCTTGGCACCAGGTTGCCTCTGTGTATGTTTTTGTGTGTTTTGAGTGCTTAGAAAAAGTCAGGAGAATGGCCCCTGAGACTTGAACTTCCATCAAAGAGTTTCTTTGCCACTTCCTGCAGGTTGCCACCAAATAGACCACTCTCCTTTGTGGTCAGGGCTTCTACCAGCCCCCTGGAATAATTTAACAGTCGTCTCTTTTACTTGGTATGGCTATAAGAATAGTGGGAAAAGGAGGACTCCAAACGGGTTGGACCCAGATTTCAATCCACATGTGTCCCTTCCCAGTTGTGTTGCCATGGGTGAGTTCTGCTGAATTTCCCTCATTTATAAGGTAGGACATTACATTCCTGTTGAAAATTAAGGTTGGATTATTGCCTAACTAGTGCATAGCAGTCACCATGCACCAATTATGGTCACATCTTCTATTTAAAATAAGGTATTTAATATGGAAACTATTTCTTGCCTCTTCCCCCCCACAACAAAAATTACATGTTGATTCTCACAGGGGATATAAATTACTGATTAGAATAATTCATACCTAGCCAGTTCTTAACATCTTTGGGAATGCTCCTTTATTTCAATTCTCAAAGTTATTGTACCACAAAAAGTTATCACAATTTCCTGCAGGGACATTATGAGTAAGGTCTGCAGGGAACAAACAATTGACATTAAAAAATCAGCATTCTACAATTGTCACTGTTATCTGCAAGAAATTCTGCATAATACATTTTAAACCAGGCGTCTAGCTGCCACATCCATGTGAAATGCTTGAATTTTTATGGTGCTTAAATATTTAATGATTCATTGGGAAAATGTGAAACATGTCTGATAAACTGCATCCCTTTCTCTAACCTGTAGTTTTAGAGTAAAAAATTTTGATCACGCAACTTTTGCAAGATACTTGATCTACTACTGACACATAAATATTTGCTGTATTGTCACTTATGATATGGTTCATTATATATAAAATTGTGTGACAGCTTCCAAAACCACTGTTTTCGATGAATGTATTTTCTTTTAAACCCAAGTGGATTTCCTTTTCTATGTATATGTGTTCTTGTATACAGATGCATGTATGTATGAAGTTGTGCTTATGTGCATGTGCTGTGTGTATGTAGGGTAGAGGTCCTAAATTGTTGTTCCTCGGGTGCTCCATCCACCTTGTTTTTTGGGATAGCATCTTCATTGACCTGAAATTCACCAAGTAGGCTAGCTGGCTGGCCAGGGAGCCCCAGGTACCCACCTGTTTCTTTGTCCTCAACACTGGGAACACAAGCATGCACCACCATGTCTGGCTACTTTTATTTAATGTGGGTTCTGGAAAGTTTAACTAATCCTCATGTTCTCATGGCTAACACTTACTGACTGAGCTATCATCCCAGAACTGCTCCCCTCTTTATTTTAAATCTACCTTATAATTCTGTCTACCCTTAGAACTGGCTTAGTAGGCAAGTAAGGTGATTTGCAGAAAGGAAGAGCCAAGGCTGGGAAGACTGAGACTCCAGGGCTCTGTGAAGCATAGGTTTCTATTCAGTGTTGGGTGGAGAAAGGAAATAAAACCAGGCCTCAGGCAAGAGAGTTAAATCAATCATAGGTGATGGGCAGTATGGGTCTCAGCCCTCTCCAGGCCTTAGCAGTCACATTAAGCAAGATGAGATGCCTACTTCCAGGATTATTTGAAGGGCTGAAGGCATGAAAGCCAACTGTAGAGATATCCATTGTAAGATACTGTGACTTGTAGCCTCCCTGTGCTAGTGAGCTTTTCATTGCTCATATCAGATGCCAGAGAGAAACAATTTAGAACTTTTTTGGACTCAGTTTCAGCTCAAGCTTTGCTGGATTAACTGAGGTGTGTAGAGGAGTCTCTTGCTGTGGGAGCATGGAGCAGAGGCTGCTCACCTCACAGTGGCCAGGAAACAGACTTGAGAGAGACCAAGAGTGGCCCAGATCAGCATACAGCTCCCAAGCACGTGCCTGCACTGGCCTGACTCCAACTAGGTTCCGCCTCTGACAATTTCCATCACTTCTTAGCAGCATCATGAGACTTGAACATGTCAGTCTGAAGGGGGATAGGGTCAGCACAAGGGATACTTCCTATTCAAACCACAACAGCATGCACGGTTGGACATGGGTATTCTTGGCAGTACCAGGGAGCATTTAAAATGGGTGACAGAATGTTATGCTGGTCCCAGAAAGAATGTATAACGAGACTGGAGATGACTCAGATGGCAAAGTACCTGCAGCATAAAATGAAGGTCTGAGTCCGGATTCCCTATACCCATGGTCAAACTTGGAGTGATCCTTTTTATCTAGACCTAGTACAGAGCAGTGTGCAGAGGGGGATCCCTGAACCCTCCGGCTAGACAGTCTAGCCCATCAATGCCTGCTTCAGTGAGAGAACTTGTGTCAAAAAATAATGTGATGGTACTAGGGCCTGGAAAGACGGCCCAGTGGTTCAGGATAGTGGCTGCTCATTTAGAGAACTGGAATTTGGTTCACAGCACTCCTGTTTGGCGGCTTATGGTCTCAGGGGACCCAATGCCCTCTTCTGGCTTCTCTGGGTACCTGCACACATACGCACAGACACATGCATACATACACACAGAGACACACACAGGAATTTGAGGAGCACTTTGGCTTACCACCTGTCATAATATGAGCCCACTTCAATCCTCAAGTATTTCCTGATCCTGACATTTCAAAATAATGCTGAAGGTACAGTGAGGAGAGACAAGAGGAATGTGACTATATTCTCCCAGTACCTGCTCTGGGAAGGAAGACGCTCTCACGGCACAGTCAGCATTGGCTAGTGACATGGAGATACTAAGAGATGCAGACCAAACAAAAACAGCAGGTCTGTGATGCTGGCCGTGGTCTCTAGGAAAGGCCTCAGCTGGGGGATAGGATGAGGAGGACATAAAGGGCTGAGGGAGAGGAGATGCCATTCCTTACACAACACTGAAAAGATCCCAGTATCAGAAGCATCCATAGCTCAGATGGGAAGACCAGTGAGCGGGCTGTTAAGAACAAACAGGCTGAGGTCCAAAGCTGCTGGGAACCCAGTTGTTGAGGTTAATGGCTCTGACCTTTCCCATTTGTCAACAGACAAACAATAAAAGATATTTGAGATGATGAGCGGTATTGTTAAAACGGGCTTTGGAAGCCCAACTGGCAACAGTATGTAGAGTTGAGTGAAGAGGTATTTTAAGTATTGAGACTTCAAGGACCTTCAAAGCTGAGCGCTTATGATTCTAGAATACTAGAGTAAAAAAAAATAATAATAAAGTGGGGGGAGTGGGAATTAGGTGAGACTATTGCTGCAGGGATCCAAGGGAATGGATAGACGAAATGATACACTTATGAGTAATGGGATACATTTCTTTCCTGAACACAGACTCCCAAGAGAGGTTCATTCTCTGTGGCGGCATCACCTCTGGTCATTCCTGTATCCAACTCCCCTGGCCAATGCCACTAAGTCTAGTTATTTTACTGTTTAGCTCCAGCCCAGCAGGCATTCCTACAGGCAACTTTGCAAATCACAGGAAACACACCTAAAGTCATCAAGAGGAAGCAATTTTAACTAGTCCTCCCTCTTAAGAACCAGGAAAAGATTGTGAATGAAGAGGTCTGTTAAGCTGACTGACCCCACCAATTGGGTACACTGGGTACATAAAAGACAACTGGAAGATTATTAATAAAGGAGCCACATTTAAAACTCGGCTTTCGGTGCTGATTACCTCCCTGTTAGAGGTAATCAGCTTCTGCTACCCTTTCTTAGTCCACTTCCAGTTTGTTGACATAACTTTCAGCATCCCTTACTGTGGATGGGGCAAAAACAAAGAAAAAAAATCCCAGACACAGAAAACAATAAGCACTAGCTGCAGGCAAGCCCATTATTCGAATAACATAATTAATTATCATAATTTCCAGAACATCTTTACCCTGAAAGATACTTGGTTTTCACTTGTAACTAAAATGACCTTTCCCACATCTGTAATAAGCATCTGGTGACATTCTGCTTCATAAAGAAAAAAATGCATATTATAACTATAGCATCCAAAATTGGGATTCCAGTGTCTTTGTGTCCAATGAGTCACACAGAGCAAGCAGGTACTATTATGGGACTCAAGCTACATAAAATATAATAATAAACTATTGCCACGTACAAGCTAGTGGAGTTCTAATACAATTGAAAATGAACTTTGGTGGGGAACTAACAGTTAACCTTTGAGTGTGGAGGGAGGGAGACAGGGAAGGTACGGGAAGGTAAATAGTAGGCCTGTTCTAGGGCCATTCAGAACCACACCACACATCGAGATGACTCAAGAGGGTGAGATAACAGTGTTATGGAAGAATCTCCAGGTTCTCTCAGAAGATGGCACATAGGGAGGCGGTTATTTCTTATTGTGGTTATGGAAGGCTTGAAAGACAGGAATAATCAAGCTTGACCATTTATTTATTTATTTTTAAATAATTTATTTAAATTTATTTTATGTGCATTGTTGTGAAGGTGTCAGATCCCCTGGAACTGGAGTTACAGACAGTTGTGAGCTGCCATGTGGGCGCTGGGAATTGGACCCGGGTCCTCTGGAAGAGCAGCCAGTGCTCTTAACTGCTGAACCATCTCTCCAGTCCCGACCATTCTAATTTAAGTGTGTGTTAAGGTGCCAGGCTCATGGGCATAATTCGTAACAACAGCTAGCTGTGGCTTTACACCAGTTACAAAGTAAACCAAGGTGCTCAGGCACCACTGTCTGGAGAGCCTGTCCAAATGCTCTCAGACTTCACGGATTTGCTTAGCCCATTTATATGCAAGTGTCAAAGACATTCCAGGTGGATTCATATTAGCAACTAGACATGGAGCTGCACAGTTGGCATGCTCCAGATGTGTCAAATGCATACAATGGAAAACTGAGACGTTAATAGCCTCAAAATGTCAATCCTGGGCACCAACTCCTTTCAGTGCCGAGCAGTTGTTTGTCGTTTTATTTATATGCTGTGAATTTCTTTCCTTCCTTCCTTCATCATCTCCTCTCTCCTTCCCTCCCCCCTCCATTCTTCCTTCTTTCTCCAAGACAGGGCCTTGCTCTCCCACCCCCCTCTCTCTGTGTGTGTGTGTGTGTGTGTGTGTGTGTGTGTGTGTGTGTGTGTGTGTGTGTGTGTGTGTATTCTGGCTGGCTGAGAACTTCATATGTAGACCAGCCTGGCTTTGAACTCAGAGATCCTCCCGCCCCTGGCTCCTGAGTGCTAAGATTGAAGATGTGTGTCACCATGCCTGGCCTATGAATTTTCTTAAAGGACATATAGTACTTATCTTAGAGTCTGTTTTATTGGTTACATGTTTCTTGATTTATTATATAATTAGTCTTCTGAAAGCACATACACACACACATTTAAAAATAGAATATAAAACTGTAAACAAAGAAAGTCAGGTCCCACACAGTCCCCCTCCAAAGCCAATCTGTATTAACAGTTAGTATGCTTTTGTAGATGTCCGCATTGTGCATTAAGAAAGCTTGTCTACAATTTTTATAATAGAAAACTCTACATGAATGGTGAGTTAAAATGGGAGCATCATTTGCTGCTCCTAACTCCCTCCTAACTAAACGCTCCACGACAGTGAGGCAGTAGCGATCGATATTCTGGCTTTGTCCTTTTATTCTCAGAATACAAGCAATAGAAATCCCTTAAGTGACTTGGACAATCTGTGTATTAAACACTACAGTTCTCTGGGGGCATTTTTTGGATACTTGTTTATGACAGACAGCAGCCACAGTAGCCAATGAAAAGGCACTTGTATGAAGAAAAAAATACTTCCTGCAAATGGGATTCCCAGTGAGAGATCCACTGGATATCTCCACTTTGCTCTGTATGTGGCACTTGCTGCTGCTCTGCAAAGGAGTTAACAAGTCTCCTGCTCCTGGAGGGGTAGCTGTGAACCCAAACTGCTGGTGCCACAGGATATCTGACGAGTGAGGAGGTGTCTTTCCTGTTCCCCTCCAGTCAGATACTCTACATGCAGACAAAGCACCCCGAGGGGCCTGCATGAAAGAGGATGGAATATCCTGGGAAGGCTGCCACATCGTCTTCCCACGTCACTGTGGAAACATGCCAGGAGGACCAAGAGTGGCAGTGTACCTCCTGCCAAGCCGAGCACCCAGCGTACCAGGCAGAATGAGAGCTGATCCTCTCACCTGGTGAAAACATATTTCCTATGAAGGTCTTCAACCCCAATGAAGATGTGCCACTGAGTCAGATGGGAAGGAAGGGAGTGTGAAAACTGGTCCCAACTGAAGAGGTGACCTTTGGTTTAGGAGAGAGCATAGAACTAGACGGGCCGCTCAGGGAAAGCTGTGCACTTCCTGGGACAAGCCTGGTTTCCAGATGTGTCAGCTGGGCTTGGGAATCTGGACATAGAAGGGCCATGGAGTGGCAGTTCATGGCAGACACGAGTGATCTGCAACAATAATGGTAAGCTCTGCCTTTGTTTAAAGCCAATTAGGGGCTTGGGGAGCAAACTGAATGGGCTACGGTCCCACAGCTGGACCATGTCTTCCCAGGCGTGGTGCCACGTCACTGGCCATCAAATCTGTGAAGGCGCTGTCTCCTCATTTCTTCTTCTGGCGTGAGTCGGAACCCATAGGGTGTTGGGCCATTTCTGGTATTTCCTGCAGCGAGAAAGCGAAGAGGGAAATCACACACGGCCTATCCATCGTTCTGACATTTACAAGGCACCACGTACCCTAGGATTCCAAGAGGAGAAAACCAGCTGTTCTGGTGTCATCTTTATTTCAACATTAAAAAGACACATAAACATATTTCGATTGTAGCTGTCAATACTAATTTCAACGGAGTATATATTTCTTAGTGTGGTTCAGTCCATGAGCTTAATTTGATTCATTCTCAGCTTCTTGATACTCAGTCCACTTTGACTGTTTTCTTCTACCATGTTCCATAATTTCCATCAGTTAACCTCCCATGTATCTCAAGGGTTGCTTGTACCTTTTATGTCCAACTCAACTAACTCCTCCCTAGCCTACTCCTGACTATGCTGGCTAGCTTCTCCTGCTGAGCCCTGGGGTCTCCCCTTTCCTCCTTCTAACCTGCCTGTCTTAGCAGCCTGGGTATCAGAAGCACACCTGACTGAGACACCTGAGTCCCATCTTCCTAGAGAAGAAGGGCAGCACGCACAATGGCGAGCAGGAGCAGAGTTAACTGACCCAGCAGCAGTGACATAATGTCTCAAGGGATTCATGTTTTTTTAAATGCCCTTCTTAATCAACTCACCCCACTCAACACACACACTGTGCTAGCTGACAGACAAAAACACAGAGGCGATATTTAAAGGTCACATGACTGAGAGGGAGGTTCTTCAGTCTGTAGACATACTCCAAATATAGGCTGTGAGAGTCGAAGTACTTCAGTCAGTACATGGAGGCATTCTTTGAAGGAGAGCTATATAGTCTTTGATCTTAAACCCCAGGGAGGAACTTTCATACCCTCTATTGGACGCAGGTAAGTAGTTGACACCAAAACGCCTTTTCATTGCTGGATCTGCAAACCCACTGATGGGCTATGAATCTTCTTCTCATCACCTATCTCAACCTGAAGTCTCACTCTCTATTTCAACACCTGGCCAGCCCTGAAATCTTCCCCCAATACAAACTCCTCAGCCTTCAGACTTTCTCTGTTAGTTGTCCTCATTCGGTAGCTGCCACATTCTGCCAGACAGAGTGGCCATCTGTGTGCACCTCTGCTCCCTCCTCCCAGGGACAGAAGCTAAGGTGGTAGGGGACATCAATGACACTTCTCACCCCTCAGTACCTGGATCAGTCCCAAATACATAGCTGTTGTCAAATAAATATGGTGTTAACAGCACTTGCTTATGACTTCCAGAGGGATCGGTTATGACATCACCCATCACAGCTCACTCAGGACTGACAAGACTGATTCAGGGAGCAAAGGCTTTGAACTCCCTGGCCACATGAGAGGATGAGGATACTTGTTTTCTCTGAAGGAAAGCAAATGGGCATGTGCTCTTTCTTGCTCATTCTCTACGAATGGTTCTCTTCCAAAGACATTTCGTTGTTGTTCGTATCGACAAGGCAGATAACTGTCACAACTACAGCGAGGTGTCAGAGCTGATTTCTGAAATCAAGGGTTGAATAATCAGTTCGATCCATGACTGGAATTTTGGTTGTCAAAGAAAAGCTCACAAAAAGTAGCCAAGAAACTTTTGTGTGATCTTGTTTCTGCATTGTTACAGGGGCCCTGATGCTTACTTCTAACCAGTCCTTTCTTGTTGAGCTCGTAGGACGATGACCTCTTATGCCCGTGCATCCCTTTTTGACTGGAACAATTGAAGGGAACAGGGAAGGTCTTCTCCCCATGTTCATCCCTAATGATGAATCTTTTCTTTATGGCCTTTTAGTATACAGCAAAACGTATGTCACTGTCTTAACCTTGATTAAAGATGACAGTGAATGAATAAATACACTAAAAAACTTACACCATGACCATTTTATGAACCTTCAAGATTCAAAGTCTTACAGGATACAGTTCTTGCTGTTTTTATGAAGGAATTTGCCTTTGTTCAAAATGGTGAATTTTTGAAATGGCAAATACATGAATCAAATCAACACGAGTTTATTGCTTAACATTGTTTCATGTTAACTGGATCCAAATCCTACTTTGCTGTTTATGGCTGCTTTTAACAAGAGAATTCTTAATTGTACTTATGAACCCAGGCCAGTATTTGACAGCTCATTGAAGCTGGGCAAGGACTGTATTAGAATGAGCTGTGGTTAGAATCAGGAGCAGGCTCAACGTGGCAATGTTGCCACAGGACACGAACCAATAGAAGTGGAGAATGTCCTCCAACTCTCAAAGGAAACCAGTGTCCTCTCTTGTGTTTCTGTGACAGATGATCCACGATTGCCTTTGGGAGGACCAACTGTCTCATGATGGAAAGAGGAGCAAGGAGTCAGGGGGCAGACAGCGAGGGTTTCTCAGGTCCAGGGCTCAGCATAAGTTGGCAGTGTGCATGTTCTCTCTCTCTCTCTCTCTCTCTCTCTCTCTCTCTCTCTCTCTCTCTCTCTCTCTCTCTCTCTCTCTCTCTCTCTCTCTCGCTGGCTAGGGTTCCACAGGTCCAGTGCTCAACGTAAGTAGGCAGTGTATACGTGCTCGCTCTCTCTCTGGACCCATTTGCAGGGCATTCAAGGAGAACCCAGGCTTAGCCAACAGAAGAAATGCCACATGCTGAGTAGAAGAGACTCACATCCCTATCCACTCAGAGGTATGAAAGTCACTCCATTTATAGAGCCCTCTCAAGGGCTCCTATTTCACTTAGCTTTTGTTCCCAACCTAGTCATCTCAGTTCCACAGATGGCCAAGTAAAGGACAGTGGGTATTAGTAAGACATCTCAGGTCACCTGGCCAGTGCAGAAAGGAACAATACTTGAGCCAAGGTTTTCTGGCCTCTTATAACCTACCCAACTGCCATCACTTCTTAGCCATGGAACAAGTTAGACACCATACCTCCTTGCCACATCTGACCTTTCCACCCACACTCAGTGCTTCTCTTCATGGATATATGGGACTCACAGACACTTGAGCACAGAAACCCAGGCAAGTGCAGTGTAAGATGGCAACTCTTATGAGCCTCAGCTAATAGTAAAGATCCAGGTCAGGTCTACAATCCCACCTCCTGTTTCCTTAAATCCCAAAGCAAAGCAGAGCAGTCCAGTTTGCTAAGAGTGCCACAGCGCCACGGTCTCCATTAGCACTACAGCATTAACTAGGCATCACCTTCTGTGTATTGTGAAAAATCCTTCAAATTCAGTTTCTGGTAACAGCAAAGCTACCCTACTATCTGAACTGCTTATCCCAGGATCCAAACACTATGTCTCTCTGAATTCTACTGAGTTTTTAAGTGTTCACAAATCTCTGATACTCTGAGAGGAATTTTAAGTCGGCTGTCAGTCAGTCACTCACCTATTGCTTGCCATGTGTGCACTGTGGGTCAGCACGATGCCAGGAACAAAGCTCTCATCCACTGCCAACAATTTCCTTCATTGGCACTGACTTTTAGACACATTTCTGGGATTTCCGTCCACCCGCATCATCTATTACTCTCTGTCTTCTGGAACCTCAAAGAGATCAGGGTCCTGTAGGCATGTCTCCGAGAGCCTTATTCTCATGTTTCAGACATAGTCTCAAGTTGGTTAGGGATATAGAACAGGGCCTGGGCCAGCTTCAGGTAGGTGGAAGATGTCTCCAGTCTCATAATGGGAACATGCCGGTAGAGAATCAGGAGATGGCTTCCTGGGTTTGTCTGGGACTCATTGACATGCCCCAGATAAGATGCTTCATTAAGCAGACCCTGGGTAGTTTCTGTGTGAGGGTGGCTGCTGAATAAGGGGGATGCCTGCTTTCCACTGCTCTGTACAAGATTTCTACTCCTTCATTTATAGCAACAGTTCTCAACTTGTGGGTTGTGACCCCTTTGGGGTCAAATGACTCTTTCACAGATATCCCGCACATTTATAGTATGATTCATAACAGTAACAAAATTACAGTTATGAACAGTAATGAAGTAATTTTATGATTGGGGGTCACCACAACATGAGGACCATATTAAAGGGTCGTAGCATTAGGAAGGTTGAGAACCAGTGATTCATAGCTACATATCTTTGAGTGAGGGGCTTCCCTCATGTTGGTCTCCTAGTTTTTGAAACAGAATGGTGAGAGCAGCTCCCCTGTGAGCCCGTTAAGAGGACTGCAAGAGGCGGTGTGCACATATATATCCTGCTTAGCAACATGCAATGAACACCTGTTATATCTCTAACGCCATTAGGAATCATATTAAATGTCTGTATTTGAACTAACTCCATAACATATTAAGAAAATGAAATAGCAATATCAGTAACTTCTTAAAGAACAAGTCCAGTTATGTTTGCAGATGTTTTTAGCAGTGATTTGAACATGTATGGAGTTGTTAGCTACTAAAAATTTGCTGTCTAAGAAATAAATAGCAGCTGGGCGGTGGCAGCACATGCCTTTAATCCCAGCACTCGGGAGGCAGAGGCAGGTGGATCTCTGTGAGTTCGAGGCCAGCCTGGTCTACAGAGCTAGTCCAGGACGGGCTCCAAAGTTACAGAGAAACCCTGTCTTGAAAAACCAAAACCAAAAACAAAAAAAAAAAAAAAAAGAAATGAATAGCAAAAGGTAATTAACAAACTTCACTGAGCAGCACATTTTTGTAACACAGAGGAGCCTTTGGGCTGTTGGGAAAGCCCAAGTGTCCAGCATGAACCTTTCTTCCATTTAGTTAAATAATCACATATTGAACATTTCCAGGCGGCCTGGGTGAAATGGCCCTACTCTGAAGAGCCTGGTAAAGAATATTGGTATTTATGAGACTCACCCCCACTCCCATGTCCTTATAAATGGAGGTCAGACCCCAATCTTACTCAAAGAAACAGTGAGCATGCTTCAAGGGGCCCCGGGAACACTTCCTATTTAAGATGACTTAGCTCAATTACAGCTTCAGTATTGAGATCATACAATTTATTGATTTGTGGTGCTTGATGGAAAAATTCCAGTTTTCTACCCTTATGTATAATACAGTAATCTCTATATTTTATGGCTAAAAGAAGGGAAGTAATTT